AAATAAATAGATTGTTAATTATAAAAGTAATTATATATAAAAATAAAGATTAATTAAATATAATATAATTATTATTATTTATTAATATAATTAAATATAATATAATTATTCTATTTTTATAATAGTCTGGATACATCAGAATGAGAGGGATCCAAAGATTGTACAAATATGAGATTATATAGTTGAGAATGACTTAAAGGAATTAATTTGTATTACTTATACTAACAAGATGCATCTAATTTTCGGTAGCTTATCTTATTAGAACTTCACAGTTAAGCGTGCTTAAATTGAAGTAATTTAGAGATGGATGACATTTTGGAAAATTTTCTAAAAAGTGTACGAGTAAGGACAAAACATGCTGAAAAGTGAGGTGTCATGGAATGGAGCGTGTTACATTAATAAATTTATTAAAATTAAATGAAAAAAATTGACAGATTTATCCGTCAGAATCACACAAAGATTTTCAAACAATATCGATGAAATTTATGACGAAATATATGTCGATAATTTCTGACAGATACATCAGTCGATAATTACCGACAGATATTTTCCACAGAATCATCCATCAAAAAATTTTGATGGATTAAATTATTTATGACTGATATTCCTTTTTACCAACGGATTATGTCCGTAAAAAATTTATGTTTCTCTTGTAGTGGATTGTATTTGTATAACTTCTAAAGTCATTATAATATGTTAGATAAAAAAAAATGGTCATAATTTAGCTATTAAATTTGATATTAAGGAGGTTTTTGACACTTTGGATTGGAAGTTCCTAATTAAGGCTTTGCAAGTTTTTGGGTTTAATAGTATGTTTCATGATTGAATCCAAACTATCTTAAAGTTGGTTAGGCTTTCTTTTTCTGTTAATGGTTCTTCAATGGTTATATGTTTTGTACAAAAAGGGTGCACCAGGGAGATTCGTTATTGCCCATACATTTTTGTGTAGTTGAGGATGTTCTTAGTATGGGTATCACCTTCCTGGTGGAAAATAATTACTTTTTTCCAATGGCTAGCCCGGTATCCCAACCCCTTCTCATGTACTATATTTGGATGATATATTCGTATTTTGTCGTGGTATTATTGAAATTTTTAAAGTATTTGAAGCAACTATGAAAAATGCAAATTTTATCATGGCTCTATGTCTTTGGCGAGGGTGGCTAAGGTGCAGGATATACTTGGTTTTGTTGTTGATCGTCTATTCGTCTTCCTTTTATATATTTGGGGATTCCCATTTTAAAAGAAAAACCACATGCCCGACATTTGCTTGGTATCATGGATAAAATTCAATGTAAGTTGTCCTCCTAGAAGAGTATGTTTATTTCCTTCATGGGACAAGTGCAGTTGGTTCGATCGATTATTTCAACCATGTTGCTCTATGACTTTCATGTATACTCTTGGCTAAAATCTTTGGTTAATACATTGGACATATGTGGATTAGAAACTTTATTTGGTCAGGTGATACTTTAGTGTGTAAACTAGTTACGGTAGCTTGGAAACATGTCTGTAGGCCACTTAAGGAGGGGGGTTGAGCATAAGATCTATTAGTTCCTTAAATGAAACACCTACTTTAAAGCTTGGTTGGGATTTTTTACATTCTAATGATTAGTGG